TTTATATATTTATATTATATATATTTATAATATATACTTATATATTTATATACACTATATATATTATATATTTATCTAATATATAATATTCATAATATATAATATATAAATTTATATTTATATGTAATATGTATGTATTATATAAATTAATATAAATATAAATTATTTATAATAAACAAAATAATACTATAATATATAAATCAATATATATTAATATAAATAAATAATATTATAATATATTTATATGTGGTATTTGTATTATTTATATTACTTATCACTTCTATTATTGTTATATTGTTATGAAGTGATTGTAAGCCCATGTTTTTTGGGGTGATATTCCTAACACCCCTAGTTAAGACATTTATTTACACATTTTATTAACTCAGCTTCAACGGCTCCAAAAGAATATCCTTGGCCTTGGGGACATTTAAAATATTTTCTGCTGGCCCTAAAAAAAGAATGGTGCTCTAAAGGAACCGTACATTTACATCTTGAGTCACAGGTCAACCTACTCTGGTTATAATTAAAATTAGTAATTTGGATTTTAGTGCCGAAAATTCAGCTGGGTGTTAAGAGGAGCTTAAAATATATAATATATAATATATAATATATAATATATAATATATAATACATATTTTATAATTTATAATATATAATATATAATATATAATACATAATTTATAATATATAATATATAATACATAATACATAATATATAATATATAATATATAACATATAATATATATTGTATAATGTATATTGTATAATGTATAATATATAATGTATGATATATTATATAATATATAGTATATGGTATATAGCATATATAATATTATGATATATATTAATATTAATATATATTAATATTAACATATATTAATATTATATGTTATATATATAATAAATATAAATAGATATATTTATAAATAGATATAATATAAATAGATATAATATATAGAATATATTTAATGTTTATTTAATATTATAAATATAATTGTGTAAATTTAATGTTTATTTAATATATTTAATATTATATGTTATATATATAATGAATATAAATAGATATATTTATAAATAGATATAATATAAAAAGATATAATATATATAAAAATATTTAATGTTTATTTAATATTATAAATATAATTGTGTAAATTTAATATTTATTTAATATATTTAATATTATAAATATATAAAATAAATATAAAATCATACAGATATATTTATATTTATTATATATAAGACTTCAGTGGTTGTGGAGGGTCTAAAAAGCCCCTCAGCCCAGCTCAGACGGCTCTGCCTGTTTTCTTTTCCCCCTCTGCCCAGAGGAAGGGGTGAGTTGAGGCTGGAGCTCTCCCTGGATGGAGGAGGTGGAGGTCAAACCCTCGGCCATTACACGCTCGGTTCTGGGCACAAAGGGATTTTTCAACTCAACTCAAACCATGTGTGATGTGGTGGAGGCTCCTCCTCCCCTCCTGTCCCCCCTTTTTTTTTCCCGTGGGTTGAACCTTTCAAGTGAACAGGTGGACTTTTCTGCCTCCCCTGTGATATGAAAGAAGCAGAAAACTCGATTAAAGGCGATTTATGGTCTCTCTGACTGGCTGGGATTTGTGGCCCTGACACGAGAGGCTCCAAGCTCAGAGCTGAGACTTGGTAAAAGGGGAAGTTAAAATTAACCTCGAGCCTTTTCTAGATGAAAACCTCAACAAATAAACAGCGGTTTAGTGGCGTGGCAACCTGCCCCTTTAAATCCTGACATGTCTATTTTTGTATTTTTGAGTTGGTTTTGGGTTTTTTTACAGAAAGATAATTGGGCCTGGAGGAACAGAGGAGTAACTTGTGATTCCTGCTGGTGTGAGTTAAAGCAGAGTTTAAGGCTACTGCTTGGAATTTTGCAATGTCTGGGGGTTTTAATGCCTTGTTTTGTGCCCCTATAAAAACCACTCCGTGCTCTCTCCAGGGAGAAAGTTCCATTAGGAACTTCCCAGTTGTTTCCAGTTTCTAGAAGTGGTTCAGGATGCAAAGATGGGCAGAAAGTTATAGCAATGAGATGTTCGGAAGTTCTCCTGGAATCACGAAATCCCAGAATGGTTTGGGTTGGGAGGGACCTTAAAATAATCCAGTGCCACCCCCTGCCATGGGCAGGGACACCTTCCATAGCCCAGGTTGCTCCAAGTTTATCCAACCTGGCCTTGGACACTTCCAGGGATCCAGGGGCAGCCACAGCTTCTCTGGGAATTCTATCCCAGATCCTCCCCCCCCTCCCAGCCAGGAATTCCTTCCCAATATCCCATCTAACCCTGCTTTTTGTCAGTTTGAAGCCATTCCCCCTTGTCCTGTCACTCCAGGCCCCTGGAAATAATCTTTCTCCATCCTCCCTGTAACTTCCCTTCAGGTCCTGGAAGGCCACAATTAGGCCACCTCAAAGCTTCTCTTCTCCGGGCTGAACAACCCCAATTCCCCTTCCTTGACCTGCTGGCCACGTTTGTTTGTAACCCTCTGCTCGGAAATGTAAGAAACAAAAATAACAACAGTAAAAAAATCAAATATCCCAACTCCCACAAGAGGTCACAGAGGGGATCAGCCCTAAAACCAACCACACTTTGAACACTGAGGAAAACTCGTGCAGGGCCAGGAGTTGGACTCGGGGATCCTTGTGGGTCCCTTCCAACTGGGGATATTCTGTGATTCTGTGGAAAAATGATGGTGCTGGAGCTCTTTCCCACCCTATTCCCTTTCCCACCCTTTCCCTTTTCCCCACTGACCCTGAAAAGATGAGCCCTGGAAGTCAAAAGGCGACTGCAGCAGAGATGGTCCCAGATGAGGGAGCTTCACTTTGGGGTTTGTTTTATGGGCAGTGACCACAAGCCTCAATGTGCTCAGCAGACAACAAACATTTTGGAGCCAGGGGGAAAGGGAAACCAGGAGAACAGGAGGGTGTCCATGAGGAAACCTCAGTGCTTCCATCACTGTCTCTTCCCGGGGTGCATCCCGGGGTAAAACCCATTAAAATGCTGTTTGCAAAGAGCAAAGCAGAGCAAAGCTGTTTGTGGGGAGAGCAGCTGGATCCACGGCTGGGTGTGAAAATCCATGGATCTGCTGCTGGGCAGGAGAGGGGCTTCCACAGGGAGCCAGGGAAGAGGGATCCTTGGTGTTAAACCCGATACTCTGCCAAGCACAGAGAGTTCCCAAGAAGCTGAGGAATGTGAGTGTGCCACCCACACCTCCACCCACGTCGTGTCAGCCACGGAAATATCCGTGTTTTCTTTCACAGGAGCACGGGAGAGACCCAAAGGGGTTCACTCTGCAGGGCAGGGAAGGGAGAGATGGGATTGTGAGGGGCTGGGTGGATCCTCCACCTGGGCAGGGAAGGAGCTGGGTGGTCCTTCCACCTTCTCTCTGTGCTTTGCCCAGCACGGGACAAAGTGAGCTGATTGCCAGGAGTAAAAATCAGTAGGTTTTTAGGAGGTTTTGATTAGATAATGGGAAGAAATCCTTCTCTGTGAAGGTGGGGAGGCACTAGGAGAGATTTCCCAGAGGTGTGGCTGCCTCTGGATCCCTGGGAGTGTCCAAAGGCCAGGTTGGATAGGGTTGGAACAACCTGGTGTGGTGGAAGGTGTCCCTGCCCATGGTAGAGGGTGAAAATAGATGATTAAGGTCCCTCCCAACCCAAACCATTCCATGATTTTATGATGACTTCTCAAACATACCTGAAAAGCGGCAGCTTTGCAACGGATTTCACTAAACCAAAGACCTTGTAAACCTCAGGAATAAAAGAATGTAACTAGGCTTGCCTTAGGTAAATGGTATAACCTTTTCTGCTTGCAAGAAAGAGCATCCTGCTCTTAAAAATTAATGCCAAAACAAGAACTTATTTTGATTCACAGAAACCATTTCTTTCCAAAACCCCAGCGCTGAACCCTGACCGAGATCATTTCATTCTGGGTGGAAGAACAGAGGGAAAACTCCCCCAGGAACAGCACCTGCTAAAAATGAACACTGTCCACACACCTTTTTTTGGGTGCATTTGCCCACGAACCTGCATTCTGATGGTAACAGCTGGTGCTGAGTGACCTGACTCACTGCTCCCCCAGTTTCAGCTCATCCCAGGGACACATCCCTGGTTTTAGCAGGGACAGACTGGGCTCTAGGGATGGCAAGGGAGATTCCAAGCTGGATGACTGGGTTTCCCTGGCACCACTGAGTAAATCAGGCTGCTGAGTCACCACTTTGCACGTTTTCATTCAAACAAAACCCTCTGGAAAACCACAGAAATCCACCCAGAGCAGCCAATCCCAAGGATGCCTCAGCACTAAGAGGTTGTTTTTGGGGGATGAAGCTCTTTGCAAAGCTCCCTGGGAAAGGTCAAGGCAAAGTGTTGACGGTGTTTCTCTCTCACTCAAGCACACTAATTGACAAATATCCATGGGGAAATACACCTAGGCATGGAAAAAGCCCTGGAATGATGCTTCTTTGCAAGGAGAACAATGGATTTTAAGGTGTTACAGTTCTGGCACAGGCAAGGACAACAAAACAGCTGCACTGAGCTGGGAAGAGAGACAGTGTGGACCCTTTCAAATCTGCCACATCCAGATTCAGCTGGAATGACTAAGGGAACACATTTCTGCCTGTTCCCTGGAGCTGCTCTCTGCACTGGCATCCTCTGTGTGTCAACCAGCAACCACAGGGACAGCACAGGGGGAGCACAGGAGGGATGCCCCACCTGCTGGAGCACTTTTTCCCCAGGAAAAGCACAAATTATAAATCCTTTTCCCATTCTCTTAAGAGCTGATCTGTGGTCACAACTGTGCAAAGCATTTTGGTGTCCATTATTTTCCAGCTTTACGAGATATCCTTCAAATCCTTCTCCTGGAAGGCTGTGACACCACGCTCTGGGGTAGGAATGGCTTTTCAACACACACACACGTGTCAGGAAGCCCCTCTTTGCACTCATTAAAGGCCGAAAGGTATCCAAGGAGTGTCCAAAAGGGATGGGAGGGGGTCAGTGGTCGGCAGGCTCAGGGATGGGGAAGGTGGAGGCAGGCGAGCAGGGGGAGGATTTCGGGTACTTACCCTGGATCTGGCTCTGAGGCTGAGGGTTAAAAGCAGTGGAGTGGTTCAGGGAGGCCCGTGGGTTGGCTGTGGGGGCTGGGTGGTGTGGGCTGACCCTCATGGCCGTGCGACGCAGCTGCTCCAGCTCGCTCAGGCGCTCGGAGAAGGACAAACTGCCGGGCTTCGTCTGCTCATCTATCTTCTGACGGTGTCCTGGTGTGGGGAGGGAGGGGGAAAAACATCAGAAAATCTCACTGGTACACGAGGTCTGTTGGTTTGATTTATTCTTTTTTTTTTTTCCCTTGTTTTTTTAACCCCTGATCCGCTGCTAAAGTCTCTGCCCTGGGACTGTGTGAAATTTAGAGCTGCAACCACTTCTCTGCGGGAACAGGAGGCACGAGGCACGCATTGCATCGTGGCCTGGTCCTGAAGAACCAGATCCACTGAAAATTTCAGTGCCTTCCTGCACCTCCCATGAGGGGAGAAGGGGTTTCTAAAAGGAGGAAATGTCGAGTGACCCCCGTGCTAAACCTGCACTGGAATAACTCCTCAAAAATAAAACCCCAGATTGTCACAAGGCCCCATAATTAGACAAGTTCTGTGGGGTTATAAAATAACAAACCCAAGCAAGTCCTATTTTTGGAGTCTTTTGCAGTGGTTTTACGGGCAGGAATAGGAAATAAAACCCAGAAGAAGTGGAAGAGTCAAAACTGGAATCATGAATCCACATCAGGAGCTTCAGGAATGTGAGGTCCCACCAGACATCCAGCTCCAAGAGAGGAAATGCTGCTTTTACAGCATCAGCCAGTGCAGAGGGGTCTTGGAATTAGAGGGTCCAGAGCTCCCTGGAGCAGCCTTTGGAGCACAGTCCCCAGGAAGCTCCGGGGCTGGGAGGGGTCAGGGAAGGTGCTGGAGAGCCCAAGCTGCAGGACAGCATTGGGCACATCCAAATTCAGCTGGAATGACTAAGGGAACACATTTCTGCCTGTTCCCTGTTGCTGCTCTCTGCACTGGGATCCTCTGTGTGTCAACCAGCAACCACAGGGACAGCACAGGGGGAGCACAGGAGGGATGTCCCACCTGCTGGAGCACTTTCTCCCCAGGAAAAGCACAAACCATAAATCCTTTTCCCATTCTCTTAAGAGCTGATCTGTGGTCACAACTGTGCAAAGCATTTTGGTGTCCATTACTCTCCAGCTTTATGAGATATCCTTCAAATCCTTCTCCTGGAGGGCTGTGACACCACGCTCTGGGGTAGGAATGGAAACCTCCCCCAGCAGGCTTGTGTTTGGTGGGATGTTGGAAATAGGGAAAAAAAAGCCCATTCCTAAGAAGGGCTTTTCCTTCTGAAAGGTCCCAGAAAACAGCCCTTCAGCAGAAAGCCCCAAATCACACAGGTTCTGCTTTCTAAAGTGCTCTCTCCAGATGCAGGGCAGGGTAAAAGAATCATCATGGAATCTTGGAATGGTTTGGGTGGGAAGGGAACTTAAATATGATTCAGTTCCACCCCCTGCCATGGGCAGGGACACCTTCCACCAGCCCAGGTTGCTCCAAGCCCTGTCCAACCTGGCCTTGGACACTTCCAGGGATCCAGGGGCAGCCACAGCTTCTCTGGGAATTCTATTCCAGCCCCTCCCCACTCTCACAGCCAACAATTCCTTCCCAATATCCCATCTCTCCCTGCCCTCTGGCAGTTTGAAGCCATTCCCCTTGTCCTGTCCCTCCAGCCCTTGGAAATAGTCTCTCTCCATCTTTCCTGGAGCCCCTTCAGGCCCTGCAAGGCCACAATCAGGTCCCCCCAAAACTTCTCCTCTCCAGGCTGAACAATCCCAGCTCTCCCAGCCTTTCCAAAGGGACTGACTGGAATGAGGACATTCCCTGACTCCAATTGGATTTAGTCAATGGAGTAGAATCTCCAGCTCCAAAAATATCATTTTCACACCTTCTACTTGGGGACCTTCTTGCAGAGCAGTGGGTGCCACTGTCCCTCCTTTCCCCCCAAACCAACCCATTTCTGCAGCTTGGATTTGCCTCAGGAAATCATCTGCTTCATGAATATTCATGGTTTATCCCTTCCCTTCTTCCCATTGGACACTGTCACCCTGTCAGGACTGCAATGTCAGTGCTAAATCCCCAGCCCAGAGGTCAAACATCTTTTTTTTTTTCTACTTGTTCCCTTGAAGAAATGAGGGGACTTGTGACAGGACGAGGTGGAATGGCTTTAAACTGAAAGAGGGCAGGTTAAAATCAGATGGCAGGAAGAAATCCTTCCCTGAGAGGGTGGGGATAGAATTCCCAGAGAAGCTGTGGCTGCCCCTGGATCCCTGGAAGTGTCCAAGGTCGGGTTGGACGGGGCTTGGAGCAACCTGGGCTGGTGGAAGGTGTCCCTGCCCATGGCAGGGGGTGGCACTGGATGATCTTTAAGGCTCCTTCCAACCCAAACCATTCCATGATTCCATGAGAAGGTGGAATTATCCCTACTTTCTGTGGAACACCATGATCTGATGTCTGTCTGCTCCTGATTTTCCTTTCCCTGTTGGAAGAGTTGCCCTCTGCAGCTTCCTTTGCACCTCCAACCTCCCTGCAGGGAGCTGCCCAGTGCTGTTCCTCCCTCAGCTCACAGAAAGACTGGCACAAAACTCCTAAAAACAACCCACCGTGCCCTGTTCCACACCCCCCATAGCACTGAATCCATCAGCATTCCCAAAAATCCAGCTTCCAATGCTGAACAAGCAGCAAAAGTCCTCTGGAGAGCCCAGTAGGCCCCTTCCTCCACAGAGCCCTCTTTCAAACCACCCCAACAGCTCCACTTTATGCACTACGAGGAAAATGTGCATTTAACAGCGGTTCCCAGTAGCTGCATTTCTAAAATTAAATTTTATAACTCGGCTCCTGGTTCCAAATGGCAGTGGCTGGGCCTTTCTTCCTGCTGCCAGGGCCCTTTGGCACGGCTGGAGCGGGCTCAGATTCCACACTGTGCTGTAAATTGTCCCGTGGGGGAGTGGGGGAGGAATTAAAATATAAAAAGGACGTATTATATAGTAGTGGTTTCGTCATTAAAGAGACCCATTAGGGCTTCAAAAAAAAAAGAAAAAGAAAAAAAAAGAAAACAAAACAAAACAAAAAGAGGGGAGAAGCAAAGACAGATGAAAAGGACTTTTATCTGCCATTCTGGTTGGTCAAGAGCAAAGGTTTCATTTGTCAGCAGAGCAGAGCTGGAAGCTGCCTCCAGCCTCGGGCTGCTGACCCCGGACTGGAAAGCCAACATGCAGAGTCATACAAGATGTGTAAAATACCTCATGCATTTGGATTATTTTTAAGCTTCAGCAGGCTCAGCCCAGGGCTTGCAGAGCCAAGAGCCGCCAGACCCTTCCAAATCCATCCCCTTGATGTCATTTAGTCCTGATTTCAAATGCTCCTTGGACATCTCCTGCTCCTGGGGGAGGGAGCCCAGCGTGACTCCCCTACCACCTTCCCTTCCCACATCCCAGCAGTGCCAGCCCCTGTGCCAACAGCCTCTCGTGGAGCTGAGCAGCTCCTCTGAGGCCAACAGGACGAGGGCTGCTGAGGCAGGAATTCACTCCCTGCTTTGAGTCTTGCTCAGGGACTAAGTTTGTGCCAGGCTGGCACACGACGCCGGGCAGGGCAGACAAAGCCCAGCCTGCTCTGGCAAATTAAGCCAGGCTTAGCATCCTCCCCAGGTCACCACAGGGCATCCTGTTCCCAGGTTGGAGTCCTCCAAGCTGATGGGAGGATCTGTGCCTGTCTCACACAATCCCTGAGGTTGGAAAAGCCCTCTAAGGTCATCCAGCCCACCCTGTGCCCCATGCCCACCTTGTCCCCCAGCCCAGAGCACTGAGTGCCACGGCCAGGCCTTCCTGGGACACCTCCAGGGCTGGGCACTCCAAACCTCCCTGGGCAGCCCCTGCCAAGGCCTGAACACCCTTTCCAGCAAGAAATTCCTCCTGATGTCCAACATTCCTCCTGATGCCCAAGATCTGTACTCTGCACCCACCAAGTGAAATCCCTGCCCCCACCTGCCCCAGAGCTTCCCCCAGAATTTTGGGCATTGCAGGGGATGTTTGAGCCTTCACCCTCTTCCATAGAGCCTCTTCCATAGCCTGGGGATCCCAGTGGTGCATCAGCACAGCCAAGCTCTGCCTGATCCCTCGGGCTTGTGGGAATTCCACTCCTGTCATCACACTCAGGGGAGAAAGACCAGCACCAACAGTTCCCAGGGGAACTTACTGTTGTTTTGGGGTTAATTTTGGATGGGAAACACTTAAAATCAATGCCAGGCAATTGTCACCTCAAGATGTAGCTCCAAAAGTGGCTCTTCCCACCCTGCCAGCCCCGAGCAGAGGAGCTGTTTCAGCTTTCCTCTCATCCTGAGAGCTGCAGGTAACACTGGGAAAATGTCCCAAACAGGAATGTTTTCCCAAGCCACCCTACATGCACGGGCAGAGCTTTGTGAGGGTGACTTGTGTTCTGGTGTTTATTAGCTTCACTTTGAAGTTCCCCTCTAAACACCCTGCTCAAAGAGCAGGCAGGTTGTCCTCAGCTCACCCCTGCAAAGCCCAGGACTGTTATTATCCCCCTTTTATAGGTGGCAAACCCAAGGACAGAGGGATTAGGTGACTTGCCCCCAGCCAGGCAGCGACCCTGTGGCCCAACGTGGTGACCACAAGCCCGGGCTTCCCCTTTTCCAGGAGAGCAGGATGAAAAAGAGCAGCAGGAATGTGCTTGGGAGCCAGTTTGGCTCTGCTGAGCCGGCAGTTTGGCCACGAGGAGCTGCCCCAAAGCAGACAGGATTTTGGGGAAGTAAATCCAGCCTCCAGCTGCTGAAGGAAGGCCTTGGCACGGAGTTTACACGAGACCTCTCACACTCCCTGTGTCCCCACAGCTTTTTTTTTGACAAGGATCTGTTTGTAGGGACCGACAGAGAGAAGAAAAGGCAACATTTTTCCTTTCCCCCCATCTTGGCTTGCAGGGTCGAGGTTTGAGAGACTGGAATAAAGAGGACATCCAGCCAGCTTGGCTAAACCACAGGGTTTGGGGGTTTTGAGCTTGACACAGCAGGTTTCCTGCTCTCCAGTGACTCCCTGCTTTGCCTGAGGGAATCCCCAGGCAGCTTTCTGCACCTTTCTTGGGTGTTCTTGCACCATGAGCAGTTGGTGCTTTTTTCCCCCTATGTTTTAACAGCAGTCAAACAA